TTTCTTTTTAATTACAGTGTTGTGGGAAATGTCTGTTTTAGATATTCCTAAAGAAAACACGAGTAAATACAAACAGCAGCTTTAAAATGATCATTTTATCTATGATGCAGGGGAAAAAACTGTCCAAACCAACCTGGCCCTGTTTGAAAAAGCAATTCCCCCTAAACCTAATAACTAGCTCTTCCAACATGTGGCATCAAGCATCCAGTCAGATCACTGCTGGAACAGCAGAATAAAAAGAACCTGTCTGACAGCAGGAAGTAGGTTAAACAAAATCTCCAAGAGCAGCACAAAATCTAATCAAATTAAAAAACAGATAGCAAATAACATCATTAACATCTATCAGTCTGGAAAGATTTACAAAAGATTTCCTGATGTTTTGAGACTCCAGTAAAGCACAGCAATGAACCTTCACAGCAGGACCCAGCCTACCAAGTTCTAGACAGCATCTAACGCTCATCCACAAGGTTACAAAAGAACCCAGAGAAAAATCTAAAAACCTGCAGGCCTCAGTTAAGGTTCAGGGTCCATGATTTCATAAAGAAGACCCGTCTCAAGGTAAACCTTCATTAAATCATTCAAACTGTTTGGAAAAAGTGAGTCCAGTTGCATCTGAGGTAAAACTAACAGCACTTCAGAAATGATTATCGTAGAAACAGAGAGACATGTCAATGAGACGTCCTTGGGCTTCTCAAGTAGCCAAACAACAGGAAAATAATCCGAACCCCACCAGCAAGTTTTCCTCTCAGTGGCTAAAAAGAAAAGGAAGATTTTGAAGAGGCCGAAGGTTCAATCTGATTGAAATGCTGTGGCACTACTTACAAAAGGCTGATCATGCTTGAAAACCCTTGAATGTAGCTGGAATAAAACAATTCAGCAAAGAGAAGTGGACCAAAATTCCTCCGCAATGATGTAAAAGATTCATTGCCTGAGTTAGCAATGCATGATGGCAGGTGTTAGAGTAACCAGATAACTTTTTGTTTCCCCCTTTTTAAATGAAATCACTTCAAAACTCCCTTTTATATTTACTCAGATTGTCAGAAATCTGTAAAGGGGAAAGTACTTTTTCACTGCTCCTGTATGTGCTGATTGACCATAAAAAAATACTTTTTTTTCCGTCTTGTGAAGACAAGATAAACCACAGCCCATGCACACCAAAGCTCATGCTTGCTTCTATTTTATTCCAATGTGTGCATAAATAAGTGAGAATAAACAGCCCAGAGAGTGTGACGGTGTCAGAGGGATCACGAACAAGGCGGCAGCGGCGGCAGTGCTGGAGGTTGAGCCACGAGCCACCAGGACTGTAAGCGTCTCCAATCGCCCCTGGCCACCATCACGTTGCCATGCTCCGGAACAGACAGGCCTGCTCGCACAACAGATGGAACTAATGATGCGAAACAAAAGAGATCATTTCACCGTGGTCCTCCAGGAAGCCAGAAAGCAGGGCTTGGAAGTTTGAATGATGGGATCAGGGGACTTGCACGAGGGTGTTATTTGGATAGCCTTTTTTTTTTTTTTCCCTTTCTTTCTTTTCGGGAGGTGCTCTGATGAATAGGGAAAACAAAGGCTTTTGATATAAGTCAAAACGCATCCTGATTAATAGGATGATAATGAAAATATTAGAAAATAAGCTAACTGCTGAAGAATACATTTATGTGGTGGGTGTTGTTAGAATGTGCTTTATTCTAACACATTTAATCACTTAATCAGGTAAATTAATAAACAAATGCAATAAAGAAACTTTTTACAATTTACTAAGCAAACAAAATAATTACATTTTTATGCATTTGAATAAAGAACCTGATTGCAGATATGTTGGAGTCGCCATCAATGCTCCTTACAAATGATCAAACCAGAGAGTTACAGTCAAAATATAATCCCCAATACCTTTTATTGGGCCGTGATTAGAAGAGCGGCACCGACAGTGAGATGTATGTGGCACACCCAGTTTCAAACAATCACCTGGCTCACACAGCTGTAGAAAGAGTTCACAGAAATTTTTGCTCCTTAAATCTGGATTTTCATCTTATGATCTGAGGCTTTTTTATTCTTTTGTTTAAAGCTCACAGTAATTAAGCTGCAGCAGCTTCCTGTCTGTCTGTGACCCGTTCTGTCACTCAGGTATACACAAATGGTTTAAGACAAGGAGCTGTGTTTAGAGAGTCAAGGTCTCTAAAGCAGAACAGCTTTTTATGTCTTAAAGAAATGACCAAAAGCAAAACAGAGAGCAAATATGCTAACTTTGGCCTATCACCAAAGCATGCTGCACAGAATAAAAATGATTAAGACAGAATTATTGTTTCTTTTTCTTTTTTCTTTTTTATTTTCCATTACATATGAAAAAAGTCAATTCTGCTCTGCTTTTTTAATTCACATTATAAATGGTGTTTGTTTTTTGGGGGGTTTTTTTTGCAATTAATATGGACATTTTGTGGGTTATTTTAATCAAATTTTGAAATTAATGCAGGGAATTTAATAATAGTTAAAATAATAGTTTCCTGTCAATTTTTCTGAAAATTCTGCTCCATAGTAACTCAATAGCTTGGCTGGGTTTTTTTTGTTTTGTTTTGTTTTGTTTTGTTTTGTTTTGTTTTGTTGTTTTTTTACACTGTAGATCCTGGACAAAAGTTGCTAACAAACCGCTGTGTCTTGAATAAACAAAAACAAATCAAATTTGAGCTGAGGACATTTGCATATCCTGAGGGACAGGATTAGATTTAGAGGTCATCTCCTATGAGCCGTTCCTCAGCATACGCTGTAATGTAATGTTTCTCTGTCAAGTACTTCCTATATGAGCCTCGTCTGCTTTCCAAGTCGAAGAGTTCAGAGAGGGAGCGCTTGGCTTTTTTTTAAAAATGCAACGTGTCAAATAGGAGTTCAAGCACCTTGGGATGGGATTTAACCAGGACGGAAAAAAGAGGAGCCCGACGCATTCCCATCCACACACGAAGGGGAACACTGGGAAAAAAAAGTTCAGCTCTGACACCGACACAAACAGCGGCCTGTATTAGAGTCAGGTTAGCAAAGATAACACTATCAGCTGGATCCCCACGGGTACAGAATGCAGGGCCTTGCTGGCAAATAAAGCTACAGTGTCTTGACTCCTTCGCACATTAGCTCTGATTACAATGACCTTCATTATATCAGCTACCCTTATTACAACACGTGGAAGATGTCTGTCCCCCGGGCGAAGCACAGTGGGGGGGTAGAGTACCAGAAAGTGGTGAGACTCACTTGTCAGGCCTGAGCAGTGAAAATCAAAGCATCTCTCTACCATCTTTACAGAGAATCGCTGTCCATTCTGTTTTGAATTTGTCTGTGAACATCAATTCCTTCCTCCCTTCCTCTTTCTGCTGGATAGAGGAAGGGACTTTGACTAGGCCATATTTTTAACTGTCTCTTGAGGGTTGTGTTGGACCTGAGGGGGTTCCTTGAAATTCATAAAGAGAGCACGAAAACGCTACAAAGAAACTCTATACATTCAATTTGAGCCAGGGACTATTTTCGTAACAGGGCACAGTAATAAAAATTAAGAACTTCTAATATCTCCAAGTTAAACCCTAAATTTCTAGAAAACATCATATACAGCAAATATATTTTCCTAAAATTAACTGGTATCTTTGATTTAATCTCCCTAAATTAGCACAACTCTTCCCTAGATATTCATCACATTTTTTTATTAACTTAATTTTTAAATAACAGTCTTGACTCTATAAGCATTTGCTCCTCCACATCCAATATGTGAAGCCAAGTCCTGTTTAATATGTAACAACATTGTTAACCTCAATTTCCTGCCTCGTCTGCCCCCTCCACAGGCCGCATTGTTAGCTTAAGCAGGCTCTTGGCAAACGCCGGCGCTGCAGTGGTGACTCTCATTCAGCCTGACCACCCTGCAGACGAGGGGCTTCTCTCCCACAGCCCGGCTCATCTCTTCTTCGGGCCCCCGCTGTGCGTCCCCAGCCCTCCCCGTTTTGCTGGCAGGTGACTCAGGATAACAGATGTTGGCCTGAGAGAGAGCAACGCTTCATTGCATTCACTTAGCGCTGCCAACACACCCAACGAGAGATGAGCTGACCTGCGGGGGGTTCAGAGGACCATCCCGTCAGCCGCAGGGAGGAAGCCATGTTTTGTGTGTGTGTGTGTGTGTGTGTGTGTGTGTGTGTGTGTGTGTGTGTGTGTCTGTTCAGGAGGGAAGGAGGAGTATGGACTGTTTTGTCTTGGATTACGGGCAAATGAAGAGATTCTAAAAATCACAAGATGCTCCTCAATGAGAAAGTTAAACACACAAACATCTCAGGGACTTTGGATTTCGAGATGTGTGAGACACCGAGCCGTTTAATCACATATTTTGTCAAAGAAGGATTTCTGCAGAGGAGCGGAGGATGCAAGAAGCGATATAACCAAGAGTGTACTTAGCAGAACCAGAGTTTAAGCCATGTTGATCCCCTATGACAGCATGTTCTAAAAAAAATGGCAAATAAAATTGTAACTTAATTATAGATTTATAATGAGCCGCTGCACCACTGCCAAAAACAAGTCCCATACCAAGCCAAACAGGCACCTGCTGAATGCTCCCTGCTCATGGGTTTTCATAGCTTAATTAATCTATGCCTTGGGGTATCATGACTTGTACGTGCTGCTTGTGTGCATGTTTGAGACAATTAAGTTGCTCCAAGAAACAGAGGTGCAACTTCAACATGAAGCAGAGACACTGACGCACCGCACATGGCATAACACATTTTGTGTTCTGTGAAAGTCGCATCAATTACCCAATAATTTGTTTAAGGCTGAAGAAAACAAGGGAATAAATGGCAAACGTGTGAAATGCTCTTTTTTACACAACTGAAGAAAGAATTGCGAATGCTGATCAGATGGAAAAGGGAATGCCTTTTCACTTTAAAATGTGTTTTCTAAACTTAGTTGCCACTTTGTTGCATCTGGTAGTCAGTTTTCTGGTAAATACGAGTGAAATGGCAAACTGATTTAGGTTTAAGACTCACCTTCCTATTGTGAAATCTGCACTGAAGATGGATCTGCTGCTCAATCCGTCTGATGCTCACTCTACTGCCATCTGATTCCTGTAGATAAACATAAAACAGCTGTTTACCATCACTCGCCGTTTCTTTGAAATGACAGATTTAAAGAATTTCACAAGATATTTCCAAAGATTGGTTGTGCTGTAAAGGGTAACAATCTTCAAAGCGAAGATTCAAACGAAGCCCGAACAACTGCACCACCAGAACAATACAGAGATAGGTATTTATGGTAAACATGAACAAGACATGTCACAGCATCTGAGAAATCTTTATGTCTTGTTCTGTTTCAAAATGAATAATAAAATGATCTTGTGCATTTTCTTAGTGACACTAAAGTCTCAGTGACTTGCAGGCCATTTGCAAGTCGCAACTTTCAACATCCCTTTCATAAACCTTTGCTGTTGTTGCCTTTGCAGTTAAAGGCTTTTCAAATGTGTGCAAATAGTCTATGTTTACTTATACACTGAAGACTAGGCATGGAATAGCATGGGATTCACAGGGTGTGACAATTTTGAGTAAAAACACTCCCATTTCATGGTTTTTGACAAAAAAAAATTGTAAATAACATGAACATGATCTAATCGATGTGATTTAAATAGAAAAGCAACATTTCCCACCGCTGCAAAAATAATTCATTGCTCATCACACTTATGACGTTATCTATTAACATTTATTTGTTGATATTTCCAATTTGGTGCATAGACTTAAGTAAAAATTTGCATATAATATAAAGTTTTACTTTTCTGCTCTAAGTAGACTGACAAAGTGTATGCAATATTAGTCAAGACCGCATTTGTAATAAAACTGAGCTGGAGAGGTAAGCTGTCGAGAAACTGCCTCTCTTGTAGATGCCTTACTTCTTCTAGAAAGCTGACTGGCAGTGCACAGCAACATCCTTGCACACCTCAAGCATTGTTCAGAAGTTTGTTGACAAAAACAATCCAAGGCAGAAATCCAATTGCTACCTTGACTAAGAAGACTCTGACCACTGAAGATAAAATATTGACCACTGGTAAGAAACTAGTCCAAACTATCAGAAATCAGAGCAGAATTTTTCAGCTTTGTGTAGCTACAGCCATTCAAATCCGATTAGTAGCTTTCTACAGCTATCATAACCACGACTACATCTCGTACACATGCCTTCGTTCTAGTTCCAAGCCATTAAGAGAAGTTAGAAACAAAGAAACAAAAAGAATAAACCTCTGCACGCATAATCACGCCGTGGTACACTGCTAGCATTTCTCTCATCTAAAAACCAAACGAGTATTTTGTTTGTTTGCTAAACAGCCCAGATGAACGTAGTTCTGATTTATTGATGTGAGATCCAGCTGAAATAATTGGTCACTAAAATAAATTAGGACAAAAGTATGAAAATCTCTTGAACTCTAATTACCAGTTTGAATGAGCCTGATAGCGATAGAGAAAAAGGTATTAGATGCAATAATTATTACTATTGCTAATTACATTTCCAATTATGTCACTAATGAGAACAGCTTAATTATCTGCACACTGGATAAATAAGAGTTGTGCTCCCAACCAGTTGTGATATAGCTACGATATGAAGGGCAAGCCTTCTGACCAAACACATACAAGAAAAACATGTAAACCACCACAGTTGCATATTTTGATATGATATGAATTAATTAATTAATAATCTGTTTTAGAAAATCTCCCCCCACCCTCCACTTTGCATCTAATCTGTGGTGAACTTCCTGTTATCCAGCAAAAACATCCCAGACCGGAAGAGCTAAAAGCATCTGTAAACTCCTTTTAATAAACTCTACCTTGTGGTTTCAATCTCAGTAGTGACCATCTCTCTGAAGCTGCTTAATTATTAAGGATTATTTTGTGCCTTCTCAAAATTAAAGTACTTAATGTAAGGAAATGTTATTGTCCAGGAAGAGAGCGAGACACTCGTCCATCAGGAGAAAAGGTATGCAGAGAAAAAACGTGTGCACAGAGAAGACATACAAACTTCAAACATTACGCCAGGCCCCGCAGTTGGACAAAAATAATAAATCAAAAGCATCTGTGTCAAGTAAGAATGGGCAGCATGGTAGGGATTGTTGCTTTTGCTGTTTGCTCTATTTCCCTCTGTTGGTTCCATTAAGGCAATAATACTATCAATACAGCTAAATGATTTTAATGAAGTTCCAGTCAGCCCATGTCTAAAACAGTTGTGAGTTCGCCTATTTGCATGTTTTTCTGAGGAATGTAATTTTTTTGGGGTTTGTTTTGAAGAGTAGATTTAAAATATCCTAGAGAAAATACTGCATGGGAAGCCGAAGTACCTAAGCGCAATGCTACTTGGCACACTACTGGCTGGCGTTTGCAATTGGCATTGGCTGATTAACTGTACTCCCCAAAGCAGAAATAAGAAAGACTGTAAATATTAGCTTCAAAGGTAGTGGCAGGACAGTTTGCACTGTATGTACTAATGCATATCAAGGTATATTTGGTGTTTGAATTATTAAAATAGAGTCTAGTGGCTTCAATATGTGTCTCAAGTATTTATGGATTTTGCTATTCGCGAGCTGTTGTGGCCCATAACAACCATGAATGCTGGGAGTTCACTGCATTGTGTAGTTGCACAATTTAATGTAACCTTTGAAATAAAGTTATTGAGAAATAACCAGGTTATTTTTTTTTAACAGTATGTGTGCTTGTTTGGTTCTGACTCTATAGATCTATAGACAGAAATTCAGATGATTCTTTTTTTTAAGTTTGCTTTTATTGTCACTTTTATTAACATTTTTGAAAATGTCACCCAAACTCCACACCATGCATTCAGTTCCTTCCTTTATTAATTACATTGTACATTACATTTGTTCCATACATAAAATCCCAATAATGGTCAGTGAGGTTTGTTGCTGTAGAGTGACTAAATGTAAATTAGTTGAAAGGGTGTAAATACTTTCGCAAGGCACTGTTTTGCTGTAATGCATTTAAAAAAGTATCAAAGTGCTGTTGAAATTTCTCACATTCCTTGACGGGCGTATCGCTGACTTTGACTGAGCGGAAGTGTTGCACAGAACCGTGTCTGGTTGCCAAGTTAAGGAACAATGGATTAGTGACATATCTTCAATACGGCTGCTGCCTAATCCGACCATCTGAGCTAAGCTGTACCAGGTGAGGCAACAGTCTGAGACACCTCTGGAACAAACAGGGATCTCCTCCTAAACGCCCACAGGACGGCTACTTCCAGCCTTTGAGGAACTTCCTCGCCTTCTTCAGATGTAGCAGGCTTAGGAAATCTCTGTTTTTGTGCTCTGTGCAGAGTAAATCAGGGCTAAATTAGGCTTTACCAGCAGTAGCAAAGCTAGACCACAACAAAAATCATATAATTGGTCTCATTTGTGCAAAATGAGAGTATTTTGCACAAATGGTCTCAATAAACATATAAATTATATTTCTACTTATCTCCCTTAATGGAGTTTTTGAGTTGAGAATTTGAACATCTGCTCCAATATTATATGTTATTTTTTGGGGCATATTATAGAGAGGAATAATGTGTACTCGTGTATGTGTCACGGCCAAGGAATGTTGCCAACTTTAGTTTCAAAGTCTCTCCCCTCTCACCTCACTTAGCGCAAGAGGAGGAGCAAAAACAAACAAAACCAAGGAGAAACATTCATTGTGCTGCTGCTTTTTCCCCCTCTCTCTCTAATGTCTGTGGCATTATGTAAAAACAGGTTTTGATACGTTACGGCACGACTGTTTTTCAGTACATTTTTCACACATGACCTCATAATTTGAGGAAAAAAAAATATGCACACACCCATTTAACAGGTACTTATTGTAAAGAGACAAACAGCACACACAAAAAAAGGTGGGTATTTCACACGCATCTACTTTCCACCACGAACAGATATTTTCCACTCTAAGATTGGAATGATAGAAAGCATCAATATGTTGTTTGAGGGGGGCAGAGATGCACACATCTTACTATTTCTAAAATAAACATTATTAATGATGGATCTAAATATTTATTAAGTCTGCATAAGCATTTGCAGACTTACATAACATTACATGAGAATAATCCATTAATTTTGCGAACCGCATAGTGATGAAGGTCAATCAATATTTCCAAATTTCCAGTTGATTTGATTGCCCTTGTGTGTTAATATGCCATAAAATGTACATTAAATATATTTCTTGCTGTGTCCTGAAAGCAGCGCTCAGACAGAAACGCGGTGCTCCAAAAGAACACAGCAATACCACAAAAACAACCCAGAGCCAAGCCACTAGTGAAAACCATGTCAGAACATGTGAATGAGGGAAGGTTCTGAAAAGGTGCATATTTTGATTTTAGTGATAAAACAGCAATCAGAGGAGCTGAGAGGTATTAACTGTTCAGTGACTGATGAGATACTGGGAACCCGTTCGGTTCGATCAAGCTCAATAGAAGGGACGGTTTCAATATCCTCACGTTTGCAAAACCACAAAAGTTAAAGAGAACAGACTGGGATACACAGCATCTACAGTCTGTGGTTTTAACAGTGCACCTGCTTACTGCCAGTTTATTTCCAAGGCAGTGCAGAGGATACTAATGTCATTAGTAATTCAACGACACATGATTTTGTTAAAGAAGGTTCTAAGTATTTTTTTTAAGCTGCTCTTGTGCATGACAAAAAGACAAAATGAACCTGAATGGTGAGATTTTCTGAGGTTATGTTACCATTGGTTGCCCTTGGGCATAAGAACGAGATAAATTTACTGGAAAAATTAGACACACTCCTTTGTCACGCAATGTGACGGGAGCAAAAAGTCACTCGAGTTCATCCTTATGTTTTCCATAAAAGTAATGCAAGCAAGTCCAGCAGCATTTCTTTTACTGTTTAGCTTTCTGCTTTTCTGTATGGGGAAAATGAACCTATAGCGTCTTGCATGAGGACATGTGATTAGGCAATGATACTAAGCATCCCCTAGCCATCAGTACAACAAAACACTTGTCATAAGTCAAGATCTTGGTTTAAATCATGCTTTTTTTGAAATGATATTTTCCTTTCTGACAAAGCCCCAGCTGCACTGTGCTGTACTGT